AACACATTTTCCTGTGACAAGGTTTGTGACCTGCTCCAATTTGTCATTCTCAAGATCTGGAAAATTTGTAGCTAATTCCTCAGCAGGAGTGTTTTTCAGTCTTCGTTCCAATTTATTTCTATCTGTTGTCTCCTTCATTTGCTGTTTGTCTGCCTGCCTTTTTGCCATTTCCTTCATTAGGTCCTTCTGCTTTAGTCTCTTTGTCTTCCTTTGCAGTTGCCCCAGTTTTACAGCCTTCTTCAATATGGTGTCTCTTTTGTCCTTGGGCATTGCATCAAGATAAGCAACTGTTTTATTCTTCTGGGCCCTCAACTTAGATGAGAGGAAACACAGGGTGGCATTTGGTGTTTCTTCTGTGCTGCACTAAACATCCCCATGATTTCCTCAGCATCTATGTTGTGTGTCCTGGCAGATTTGATCTCCTCCAACAATACTTCAGTCACATCAATTGTGAAGTATTTCTGATACTGACGATCAAGGACTTCAATGACAGCAGCAAAGCAGGCTTGCATCATTGTGGAAAACATATTGGTATCTTCTGGAGGTTGCTTCAGTGCTTGCAGTGTGGCATCAGAGGCATCCAGTTTCTCTCCGAAGAAGTCTTTATCCATCGTGAAGAGGTCCAATGGTTCATGAAGGCTCTTGAGACGAGAGATCACACCTTTCACCAAAGAGATACCTTCTACGTGATCTGTATGGTCATCAGTTCCTTTATAAAACTTCTTCATCCATGGCCCCGTTAAAAATTTGCCAATGAGCCCCAATACGTGGATTTGAACTTGTCCTATCATAGAATTGAAGTCTTTCAGAATGGCTGACCTCAGACCACCACATGCTGTACCCTTCTGAAGAAAGTCTCTGAACTTTGAACGATATAGGTGCAGGGTTCCACATATATGAAACAACACATGCAGGCGGTTGCCCCGATATCGGGGCAGTAAGCCACGTGGCAAATTTTCTCTCTCCAGGAATAGAATGAAACCTTTGGGGTCCCCTTTGCCGTCTTTATAGCGCATCTTATTAAATCCCAACACAAGATTTCCAACGGTGCAATCTCTGCCAAACAGCTGTTTCCCTGTTGCATCCTCACATCCCTTCAGGGCAGAACGAGTCTTGGTGGCGATAGAATCTAGGGAGTGCAA